AGAGAGAGAGAGAGAGAGAGAGAGAGAGAGAGAGAGAGATGTGCTTGACTGAGGTTTTAGTTTTCTAAAACCTAGAAAACTAAAGGCACTTTGGCACTTTGGCAAAGTATTGGCACTTTGCGATAAATGAGTGGATTTTGCGATAAATGAGTGGATTTTGCGTTGCAGTTTGGGCACTAGGTCTCTAAAAGGTTTGCCATCACTGGCATAGGATGAGGAGGGAAATACACCAGTCAAGCAATTAAAAATGAGTAAATGGAAGAGTAGAAGAGTTATCATGTGGATGGGACAGACTCTGCAGGCTTGCAGAGGATGAGAGAGTAGCTGGGCTTGGAAGCTCACTGGGCTTGAGCTTATAAACTCATTGATCAGGCAGTGCCAATCTTGTGATGCTCACCTTGAATTTGAGGTGACAAGAGAACTCTGTTTTCCAAGCTCCGGTGTGATTCTAATTGGGTGGAGTGGGTGTCCCATCATTCACTAGGCCTTGAAATGACAGAATTATTGAATCTTGGAACTGGAAAGGTCCCCCAGCCCTCTCCACTGCTCACTGCAGGATCTGCAGCATACAAGGCAACTACAGCATCCCTGACAGATGGTTATCTAGCCATACTGCTATTCTGTATTTTGTATTATGTTGTGATTATGAGCTTTGAGTCCCATTTTAGGGGAAAAGATGTTTGTTTTAACTGATAAACAGTAAAATCCTTTCAGTTGACCAATGGAATAACTGAAATAGATTCCGAACCCTGATCTCCAATCATGCAATTACCTTCAAGTCTGTGAACTAACATTATGCATTTTACCATACCATCTTGTCAAACTGTTTTGCATCAAATCATTTCTGTTTTGGAGTCAAGCTGTCTTTATTCATATAAGTGAAATCCTGCTGCACAAAAGGAATACGCCTCTGGGTGCCAGATGCTGGAGACACACAATGGGTGGAGAGGATTTTTCCTTCAGGCCTTTCTTTTGATCTTCCAAGAGCAGTCTGTTTGGTCACTGCCAGGAGCATAATGCCAGTCTAACCGAGGTATTCTTAGAGAAATACATGAAAGCAACTGTTCATGCACTATTATAAATGCAACTCTAATGAAGCAGTATGACTCTGAGACATGAATGTGGCAACCCATTCCAAGAGACTGAAGCTATGGTTAATAGCAAACAAACTGTGACTGAAATCACTCAAATGTGTATTGGAAGCTGCAGATGGTCCATGGAAATTTGCTCCTTAGGAACATGAAATCAAACTTCAGCACAGGAATCCTCAAGCAAGTTTTACACATGTCTGAAAATCAGCAGAAAGCACAACATGACTTTAGAGTGACAATACACTGTGGATTTTGCTTACCCAATAACAATACAGGAGATTGCAGTCCCTAAAAATGCGTATGCCAAAAGTGATCCCAAGTTGCGAAAAAAATGTCTCTGTGAAGCAGAAAAGGATGAAAAAAAGATTGAAATTCTATGTCAGTTTAACACAGACATGTATGCACATATGCTTCTCTATCAGATCTAAAAGTATAACATGAAAAATTATATTCTCAAACTTTGTTGTTGTTGTTTTTTTAAGCAATAGCTGTTCTCTGCCCTGCTCAGGTTAAAACAGCAAAGAGTCAGGGATGGAGCCTGTGGATTTCTTTAAGGACATCCCATAATAGCATCAGACTTGCGTTTTTTTAAAGAGAGAGATTTCAGTAAAATCCAACACTAACTTGCACATTGAAAAATGAGTTATCCTAAAAAACAAATAATAAGTTGGGAGGTAGAGGGCTTTTGAACAAAACGTAGGAGGCACGAGTTTTGTGTGCATGTGCATGCTGCGTGTATGCCACTATCTAGCTAATCTGGGCTATGATGGCCACTATTCTTGGTTATTGGCCATGCTGGCTAGGGCTCCTGGGAGTTGCAATCAGAACATCCAGATGGATGCAGGTTGGGGAAAGCTGCTTTTAAAACTGCGCTGCATTTTGCAGGTGCATTACGGTTTAAAAAACGTTGCATCAGATTTTAACTGTTTGTTTGTTGTGTGTCTCTTGAGTCAGAGGGTGTTACTGACTCACATCCTGTTAATGGGTTTTCCACCGGTAGCTGATTGGCCCCTGCATGAACTCGCTGTTGGAGCAGATAGGACTACGGAGTGCATAGGAGAGCAGGTGGTCCGATCCAGCTTGGCTCTATTTATGTTTGTAATTATGATGCAATGCATTATTTATCATTTAAGCCATTAGTGAGTTAGTAGAAGTATACTTTTAGTGCATCTCTATAATGTACCATAATCTTGGATTACAAAACCCAAGTGGTTTTATCAGTAAAGTCAATGCCGTGAAGACAAAGTAGTACTGCCATATTGTAATTATTGAAATATTTAATCTGTGAAGAGAATTGGGATTAGGTCAGCAGGCAGAGTATACTGACAATGTTTCATAGCTTGGAGCTTGAGTCTGATATGTTTTTGGTATGTTGCTGGCTTGGAAAATTTTAAAGCATAAAGTTAAATTATACAACAAAAATGGGAATCAGAATGACTGTTTGGAATTGGATGAAACATCTACTTTATCACTGTCTTTGCTTTATCTGGGTAATGTGAGTCTGTGGCATTTAATATCTGGCAGTGTTGTAAATTTTGCTGGTTGGCTCTGTAGATCAGCATGTATGTCAGACTATTTTCTTTAGCTGAAAAGAGAAGCCCCTTACCTTCTTTAAACTGTATCCTGCATGAAATATAATGGGAGGTAATAAAACATTGAAGAAGATGGAAGGATCAAAGGTCATCTGCCAAAAGGAACAAAGACACCAGTTAAGGTACATAAAACAACCAGTAGGAACTTTCTGTTTTAGGAGAATCATCTTTTACATGACCTTCTGACACCAACCCACAAAATTTTTCAAAATGCAATAATGCAAATTTTTCTGTAAAATGCAGAATGCTGTGAGCTGTGCTTCTCTCTTCCAGCAGCAATAGTCTCACCAGTGCTTCTTTGCCAAACTTCTTTATGTTACATGCATGTCTCTGAACATACACAAAGTGAATTGTTGAACCCTCTCTGACATTCTTCACCCAAAGTTTTCCTTATGAATCTTTTTGCGTCTATCCCTGGTAGGAGTAGTGCTGTGGAATTAGGCACACCTGTGCTGCTGCCTCAGAGACCCCACAACTGTGATGATGGACTATCAGGTCCACCTCCTCAGGAGGCTGGAGGTCCCCATCTGATAGACTCCCCATCTCTAAATCTCCTCCCTTGAAATGTTGTTGTTCTTCCCCATTTCCACAGGAAGGTTGACTGGTCCCTTGGCTGTCTTTGAACTAATTTCTCCTATAGTAGAGACAGGTGGGTACCCAGGGCCTTGGACTGCAGCTGGAACTGGGACCATTTCAACAATCATCTTAGTATCAGAGTCTGAGCTGTCAATCCTGCTGGATAGACTGTCTCCCCTGCACCCATCTCATCCTCAGATTCGGAGGTGTCAGTCCTGCCAAAACAGTTAGCCTCTCATGCATGCACCTGAGATTTGCCAGAATGCATGCACATGACACAGAATAATACAATAGCAAGAATGTATATTTTAAATTATTCTTCAAATTAACTATTGCAACAATTTCCAGGGGGCTAGCCATGTAAAACAGATGCAGCAAAAACAACAAAGTCTTATAAGACCTTCAAGATTTATTATGGCATACACTTGGCTAGTTTTTAATGTGCTGTTCAGGCCTCACTATCTCTGCAGACGTAAAATAGCTTGTAATTCTATGCAAGTGGATTTTTAAAAAACAGATGCAAGCTAGTCTTGCTTCAGTTTACTTAATAGGGCAAATTACAAACACTGACTGGATTCAGACAAAATGATAGCTTACAGTTAAGAGTTGGGTCTCATTAGCCTATATTTAAGAATGGTTGTTGAACCGTAGCTTGTTACTGAAAAATGGAATATTGTGTTGTAAGAACCCAGCTGCAATAACAAACCATGGCTTGTTAATCACAAACAACTCTTTACCAGAACTCATAACCTGTTGTTGAGTTGTGTTCTATGGGCTGCTTGTAGTTATGATGGCTTGTTACCGTGGCTTGGTTCATACATCTCAATAACAACCTATCATTCAACGATTACCCACACTCAACCCATACACAACCCCTGTCTGTGGGTTATCATAAACTCATTGACTGGCTACAAAATGCCTTGCTGTTTAATTTAATATTAAAAACCTAATCTTAGTGGGTGTTGGGAGTAAGAAGGGCAGTTGTTTTTGGCATGCATTCCCAGGCTCAGAGGAGGAGCAGGGGTGGGGGCGGGATCAGAATGTGGGCCAATTCCAGATGTTGAGATGAGAGAAGTGGAGCCACCTTCTCTGGCTTTTTCTCAACAACCTCTGGGCTGATGAATGCATTCTCTCCAGCTAGCACAATATAATAGAAGAATTCTTCACCTTCCTTATGAGTAACTTAACTTCATTCTGCAAAGTTGCAAGTTAATTCATTTCAATGCATGATATTTGTCATAACAGAAGTGTTCCCCTGTTATAGCTGACCTTCCTCAGACTGGTAAAGGAAATGGATCCAAACAAAAAGTCAATGATCTTTGTTTCATAGTTCTTCCTTTGAATAACAGAAGGAAATTAAGGCTACAACACTATGTGTGATGGTGTATTTTCCTCATGTAATCATTTTTGATAATCCTAGCTGGATTTGAAGTGATCTCTCCACCCCAGTTTGGCTCCATAGATTTGGATTCTGTGGCCTCCACCCTCAGTGCATGCAAGCATCACACAGTGGAGGGTGGGAGGCAGCGCAGCAACAGCGATCTGCACATCCCCATGCCTTGCACCCTGCAGGTCATCTAGATTACTGTTTAAGCACTGCAGAGGGGGAGGAAATGAGGCTGTTCAGACATTTCAGCCACATTCTTGTCTCCTTCCTGCCATGCAGCATGTCCGACTCTCTCCGAATCAATTTCTCAGCTTGGAGAGGCAGCCGACACACTTCTTTCCATGCTGGCTGCAGGATGGTGGTGGGGGATCCACATTATTCAGTCTGAGCACTGAGGTCAAAAGGACTGGGACACCAAATAATCCTTTGCCTCCTCCAGCAATGTCGGAAGGGCATAGGATTGTGCCCTCATAAAAGCCAAGAATTTGCATTCCTACTGAAGATCCATTTGGAGATCTATAAGGCTTCTTTATCACTACTAACTGTAGTTTCTGTTGAACTTAAATGTGTTGATAATTTCCAAGCAATTTTATTTAGAAAAGAATAAGCTGAAGTGCCGTAATAATGAGTGTTCCTACTCATTAACAACAGTGATCAGTTCTTAATAATCTTTTTAGTTTTCATCAGGACCAATGGGAAATGGTGCCATGGCAATGGAATGAGTATCCCTGGGACAATCACAGTGCCCTAAGATGCTTAAGAAGCTCTATTCATTTTCTCCATATCAGAGATAATGCAAATAACTTTCTTTACTTTGTTGTTTTACCATAAAGATCATCTCTGTCTCTCTGTCTCTCTGTCTCTGTCTTTCTCTCTTATACACACACACACACACACAAATGCAGGTTGTCTCTTTCGTTTGTGAAAATAGCAATGCATACACATTACCAAAAGAGAGGAAATATCTTACCAAAAAGGAGAATAAAAGAGATGCCAATTTCCATCACATATGCAAATGTATATGCAGAGGTGCACATTCAGAAATAATAAATATAATTCAAACAGAAATAACATACAGGCAGTCCTTGAGTTACTAACATGTCCCATTCCTGAGAAAATGGAAATTTGTCTTTGAGTTGAATTTGTATTAAGTCAGATCACATATATTCAGCTTCCCACATTTGCTGGGGTTAGGGGCACAGGATCCCTGTGAAATTGGAAAAACTACTAATATTGTGAATAACTGCTCAAACTCACCAGTGCTTCCTCTTTGAGGCAAGGAAGTGCTGGAGAGATTTTCCTTTCTGGATGAGCAGGGCAGGGAGATGTACTTTGGAGGCCTCCTGCTCTTAACCTTTCACTTCCTCTCTCCATGGTGATGCTGTGGAGGCCCTACCTCTCTCCCCTTTTGCTTCCTCTCTCCCTGTGGTGATGACAATTCTTTGCAGGTATTTTTAAAATAATAGGCGGTATGGAGTTTGTTCATAAGTATGGGTTATTTGTAACTCAGACGTTTGCAACTTGGGGGAAATCGTGGGAATTTTACTATAGTGGGAAAATTGTGACAGGAGTCCTCTAGTCTGGTATCAAGGTGCTAGCTGTTGATGGGCAATGTCTAAGCACTTGCTGTCCCCATCTAATAGTTTTTTAAGCTTTAAACCAGACTAAGGCTGGTCAGCCCATCGAATGGAAGACATCTTCAAACACACAACAGTCCTCTGTAAAATAGGATCCCTGCCAGCCAAATGTGGGCACATTGAAGAAGGACTAGGTACATTCTACTCTTGAACATTCAGGTGGCAGCAGTGATGAAGAGTGTTTTTGGTCATTCTCAGCTGACTTTAGTCTTTAGAACTTCAAAAGCTCAGGGCTCATTTATGTTCAGAGCTGCCTGCTGCCACATGAGACTGCCTGCTGGTTAAGATAGGCATTAGAAACCGTGGCCTTGGTTCCTCTCATTTTATGAGATTGGATCAGAAGGTATATGAAAGGAGGAATCAACATTGTGGAACACTTTCCCTGTGAAGATCTATCAGGCACCTTCTATTTCAGTTTTACACATCTGCCAAACGTTTACTTATTTCACTTACGTTTAATGGTCTGAGTGTGTGCTAGCTTGCTGGATTCTGCTTTCAATTCACCTGCTGTTTTCACAGTGACTGGGTTTGTATAACATGCTAAGCTATAGTAACTAACATGTTGTATGAATCTGCTGTCCCACAACACCATGGCATGAGGCTGAGAAGCCACAGATACAAGCTGTGACTTGTTCTGGGCTTTCACAGCCACTCCTGGCTATGTCATAGGAACAAGAAACCCAGGTGAAGCTCTGAGGGCTATAGAGTCACTTTGCCAGAGCTATGGAAAGTCTTGCTGCTCTAGCCAAGTGACTGCAATGCCAGCTGCCCAAAGTACTCAAATGGCAATTTGGGCAGCTGTCATCAGCTTCCCTGTTGCCATGCACCACTTTCCCAAGCCCCACTTAGGCCTTGAGGAGATGGCATAAAGTGATGCCAGTGTCCACTGCCCACTGCCTTCCCAAGCCACTCTCAGGGCTGCATATTCTTCCGAATATGGTCTCCATAGGAGGATGCCAAGCAGAATCTGACCCCTACCCACTGCTCTGATGTGACTAATGCCCACATGTTTGCACTTCGATTCATGGAAAAAAATGCACATGAAATGACTGCAAGGGGTTTTTTTTGGGGGGGGAGGGGAGACTTTACAAACATGCTTTCATCAGTGAGAGAAAACTGTGTACCTTTCATTTCAAAAAGGATCATGAGTGATGTGTACATTTTGGGACATATGAATAAAATGTACAAGATATTTTGTTTGAAAAAGGAGAAAAAGAATTTACAAATTGATTCTGGCATATGTCTGATTGAGCTTTGAGGTAGAATTTAGAAAACCTGAGTGAGCTCCACTTTTTCCGCTTCACATATCCTTCCTCATGAGATAATGTATTGCCATTTGTCTAGTTCCAAATTTAGAAATTCATGACTGACATATCTTACTGTACATTTGGATTTTTTAACAAAGGATAGAAAGGAGATCTATTTAATGTACTTTCAGGAACAAAACTTGAACATGATGTCAGAAACAGTGCAGGAAGAGTTTACTTTGCCCAACCCTTCAATGCAATGTTCCTTTATTACACCCAGTTTTAGTGGTCACTGTGCAGTAAATTCCTGCTTAAAGTAAAGTAACGAATTCTGCTGTATAATAACTATTGTTTGTATCAGATGTTAGATTTCACTGCATCTTCCATAGTTTCTGCTAGATTCGTATCTTTAAATGTGAGAGCCTGTCATTAGCAAAATGGTTTGTAGCTCCTTTGTCCTGATTCAGTGCTTTTCCTTTATGGGGTTAGAAGCCTGGATGAATTATTTAGCTTCATAACAATACAGCCTGACTCCAAAATGACTTCCTTTTTGCCCCTGTCCACCAGATAGCTCTGCTTGATAAACAGGAAGTGAAGACTCAGCATTTTTTCACCCATTCTGCTTACTTTGAATTGCCAAGTGAATGTAAATAGGTAGCCAATAACAACGAGTAGTAAATTTCACTTCACTGACAACTTTATGGGGGAAACTTGGAGCAAGAATTTTTATTAGGGAGTCTTCTACACTGACAATCCCAAATGCAACATTGACCTGATAATTAAATCAGCAAATAAGTTTTATGCACCTTTCTCCTATATGGTTTTTAGGGGTGGGTAGGTGGAGGGAATAAATTGCATGGTTGCTATTCGAATAATGCAATAATATTATATACTTATTTCCATATGTACAGCATATTTAAGACTAATTTCAGGAAAAAAAAACACCAAGTGTGGCAAGTATGAAGGAGCTAACCACAAAAATCAGGTTTGCTGTATCGCTTCCATTTTAAAGGACAACAGAGGGAACAATTTAAGAGATTACATTTAAGAGCATCAAAATAGTTTTGCTGCATCTGTCCAGCATTCTGTTTCCCACAGTGGCCAGCTTTGGGAATCCCCCAGATATGAGGGCTACAAACTTTCCTGATGTAATTGACCAGTAGATATTGATCATAACCAGTAGGAATTGATCTCCATATCCGCCACTGACTTGTCTTTTAAGACAGCTAAGTTGGTGATTATCTGCACATCTTGTAATAATAAATTTAATATCTGATAAGCACCTTTGCTTCCTGCTCTTATCTTGCAAGGAGCAAAACAATGCTTGGAGGCCTGGATTTCTAAAAGTTACTGTATGGTTGAAGGAAATCACATTCTTATTTAGTATTCATATAGAACTTCCAAGGGCTGTGTCAGTGTTCAGGGTTTCACATATATAAACTTGGTTACGATGTAATGCTAAACCACAGCTAAGTGCCTGTGAGCCTGCTCCCATGTCTGAAAGGGTGTGTAGAACTTTTTTGGGTTTTTTCCTCACAAGGTGCACCCCCCACCCATTCATTTAGAAAGATTTCTCAATGCAAAACTTAACTGGGAGAAAGAAAGGCATCTCTCAAGACCATAAGACAAATCAGAAAAGAGTCAGTGAACTTATTTCAGTTTTGAAGGTGGAATTGGAGATCCATTCCTGGGCCCTTTCAGCTGCCATGGAGAAAATTGTGCTACCTGTCTCTTCAAGCTTATAAGATTGACCTTGGTGAGGTGGAAAGTGTGTACTGTGGTGGGCAGGAAGGTGGCTGCAAAGGCAAGGAAGAGTTTTATCCTGAGCCTCTTCCTGCCTCCTTCCCTCCTCCTCCAATGGGCCCTTGCTAGAACCCAGCTAGCCAAGAACTCAAGGATCAGAGTGTGGTTAGGCAAAGATTCCATCCCTCCTACCTTGTTGGCTCTGGCCCAGCAGAGAATAGAAACCTTGGGAACCTCCAGGTTCAGGTGCTGTCTATAAAGTGCAATTCACGGCTCATATCTGAGTGGTGAAATGCATGTAACCAATGGCAATACACTCAGGAGTGCTACAAAAACATGAAAAACCCACGTACAAAACCTGTGAGTACATTTATTGGCCCTGCTCATGCATGGATTCCTTTGTATGTACATGGGCTGGCAAGCTGTGGCTGGCTACAGCTTCCATTCCAGGTGCACACTACATATACACACAGCAACATGCACAAGTGTCAAACTATACAATGATTTTATACATAGGTTACATATTCCCCTTTCCTTTCCTTTCCCTGGCAGTGAATTGATTTCCATTTGGAAGTTTGTCGTGTTTCCAGTAACCTTCAAATAATGAAAGCAGGAAGCCTGAGAGAGTAGAAAGGCCTTTTTTCTGTCTGTTCTTCTGTTTCCTGATTATACATCAACAGTTGATTAATTAAGATGGGCAACAACCTGTACCACATTTAAGTCAGTCTGGATTCAGGGCGGGGATCAATCAGAAATGATTATGCAAGCTCTTTTACTTTATAGAGGACAACAATCAGCTTACCTTTTGCAGCATCATATTGCCTTGGTGTGCATTAATATTTTGCTGGCTGATTTCTCTTTTGTACTGATATTCATATACTTGATTGGATATGTTGACAAGCAGAGTGGGCAAGCCAGCTTCAAGCTTCTCACAATCATAGACCGTTCCTTTTTCAAAGTCAGATGGTGCTGTAGCATAGCGTAAAATTAATCCCATTATGAGACCTATGGACAGAAAGAGGAAGCCCATAAAAATGATGGAGGATGTTTAATGTAATTCTCTGTATTTTAGTGAGCCTAAATGGAGAGAAATGACAAGTATCTTGTCTCTTTAAAAAAACTCTTTAAAAAATTACTTGGTTCTGACTCCTCATGTTGTCCATATTGAGATTTTGCTGTTACCCTAAGAAAGAATATATGAAACCAATTCATCTGTATCACTTGTATTCATATTATAAGGTTTGATATCTATATCTGTAGCTATCTGTATACTCAGAATCACTTCAAAATTAGCTAAATGCTGTACAACACATTGTAATTGGTGCTATACCAAATGTATAAGTTGCATTTTGCTTAAACACACACACAAACAAAGTTCTACACTAACCGACATTCTGCAACTTGAAACACTAGATTTGTTGACCTTTATATATTTACTGAGAAAGCAGCTGGGCTTAGACATTGGCTTATGCTGCATATTTATTCTGTTTCTGCTAAATGCTGCAAAGATCAAAAGGTTCTGAAGAACTGGCAAACCTACTCAGAGATTTCTTTTGGGATCTGAACAGGCATTGCCCTCACACTTCACTGCCTTAAGTGTCCTTCCCCCAAACAGATGTTCTTCATATGTGTTCCACTGTAACTCCCATTATCCCCAGATAGCATGGCTGTAGGTGATAGGTGCTACAGTCTATCACATCTAGGGAGTGTCAGGTTTAGGGAAGGCTATCTTAAGAGACAGAAAAAAATGAATCCTGGATCATCAGGATGATACAGTGCTTGCACAAAATTGTAGAATTACCGTACACAAAGGAATATGAGGGGGTAATGAAATGCAAACCAATAAATAACATCACAATATGTATACATTATGTATAAAATATGCATACATTAGAGAAAAATGTTCAGTTGTGCACAGTAGAATTTTTCAAAAAATGTGTACATTAGGGAGAATGTGTATTAAATATGTTTGTTAGGAGGAATGTGTACAAACATGAAATGTACAAACTCGTTTATCTTTAGAATCAACCATAATCCTAGGGAATTTTCTTTCACAAGTGTTCTGCAGAATGTAGATTAATGGCTAGTTTTAATGGCTTTCCTAAAGCATTGTGAAATGCTTTAAATAAATGAAATAAAAATGTTTACAGTGGATATTGTCTCCATGCAGACTTCCTGTGTATTCTGTGGAGCGGAAAGGAAAATAGATATGAAAAATGCCAGTTGTTCAAACAATTCAAAAGCCAGGAATCAGCCCCTAGAAAAGCACACTATCAGTGAAGCACTACGGGTGAAAATTCCTGGCTCTAAAACTAACTCAGTCATAGGAATATGCTATTGTCCCCACACATTTTGACTGGGCAAATGCATGTTCAAGTTCTGACAGAGAGGTCCTCAATGGCATAGATGACTGTGCCCTAGAGAAGCTGGCCATGGAATCAACCAGAGGGGGTGCAATCTTGGTTTTAGTCCTGTGCAACCTTGATTTAGTCCTGTGCAACCTTGCAACCATTAGAACAGGGTGCATAGGTTGGTGTGCCACTGAGTAACAGTGACCATGCTGGTGGTATCAGATTTAATAGACAGTTAAGTGGAGGACTGCCAACGAGGAGGGACACAGTTACATTGAATTTCAAAGGAGGAAACTTCTCAGAAATGAAGGAACTGTAAAGAAGAACCTGAAGAGGGGAATCAAGAAGGTTGATTACTCAAAAAATTATACTCAAAAACATGAGATCATTATCAAAAATATGTTTTTGAGATTACTGAAAAACATTATAGCTGAGGTACACGTAATATGCATACCACAAGTTTCATTTTTTGTAAGTCTTCCTGTGATGTTTGTAATGGACAGTTTAGAAAAGCTTTTAATAAATAAATAAGTGGAAAGAGGTAGCACAAAGTCAAGGGAATTGACAAAATCCAGCATGGTTAAGAGTCAAGGAAGCTATTGGGGAGAAGAAAGCTTCCTTCAAAAAATGAAAGTCTTGCACAACTGAAAAGAACAGATGAAACCACAAGCTTGTACAAGGGAGATACAAGCAGGCCATCAAAAAAGCAAAGAAACAGTTTGAGGAGCATGTAGCTAACAATATTAAGGCTAACAATAAAAATTTATTTAAATATATGAAAAGAAAGAACTGGCTAAGGAAACAGCTGGGGCATTGGATAATGGAATTAAAGGAACACTAAGGAGGGATCAGGAGATTGTAGGAAAGTTGAATGAAATCTTTTTGCCAGGCTTCACAGCAGAGGACAGTGAACAGATACCTGTCCCTGAACTTATGTATACTGGAAGGGAATCTGAGGAATCAGGCCAAAGGGTAGTGACAAAAGATGAAATTGTCAACCTTATTGATGAACTGAAAGTCAGCATGCCACCTGGTTCAGATGGTGTCTATCCTAGAGTTATGAAACTGCTGACCTTCTTATGTACCATGATATTTAATATGACCCTAAGATCAGCCCTTTTACCAGAGGATTGGAGAATGGCCAATATAACACCAATTTTTGCAAAGAGATCTGGGGGTGGGGGTGCTCCTAGAAATTACAGGCCAGTTAACTTAACATCTGTTCTGGGTATGGCTTGAAAGCACTATTAAAGATGGAATCAGTAGCACATAGAGGACACATGCTATTAGAGTAGCACATCAGCATGGATTCCACAAGGGTAAATCTTGTCTCACTAACTTACTGGAGTTCGTTGAGTGTGTTAATAAGCATGTAGACAGGGCTGATCCAATAGGCATTGTTTACTTGGACCTCTAGAAGGCTTTTTACAAAGTCCCTCACCAAAGGCTCCTGAGCAAACTAAGCAGCCATGGAATAAAAGAGGGTCCTTTTATTGGTCAGTAACTGTTTAAAGAACAGAAGGTGGGATGTGTGAATAAATGGCAATTTCTCCCCATGGAGAGATGTCACCAGTGGAGTCTCACAGGGTTCTGTATTAGGATCAATGCTTTTTAATCTGTTCACCAATTATTTGGAATTAGGAGTAAGTAGATGAAATGTTAGCCCCATGCTCAGCTGCTGTGAAGAAGGCAAACTCCATGCTAGGCATCATCAGGAATGGAATAGAAAATAGAACTGCCAAAATCTTACTTCCCTTATGCAAATCTTTGGACTTGAAATACTGTGTTCATCTCTGGTTGCCTTGCCTGAAAAAGGACATTGTTCAGTTGGAAAGGGTGCAGAGAAGGACAACAAAAATTATCTGGGGGCAGGAACAACTCCCTTATGAGGAGAGGCTATGACAGCTGGGAATGTTCAGCTTAGAAAAAAGGCAAGTAAGGGGAGACGTGGTTAGAGGTATTGAAAATAATGCATGATGTGCAGAAAGAGGAGAGTGAGGCATTTTTCTTCTTCTTACATAACACTCAAACTGGGGGTCATGGGGGGTTTAGGACCAATAAAGGAAATACATCTTCATACAGTGTATAGCGAAACTGTGGAATTCACGGCCACAGGAAGTGGTGATGGCCACCAGTCTGGATGGCTTTAAAAAGGAGGCTATCTGTGGCTACTAACTTTGTTTACTAGGTTTGTCTTCCTTTATCCCAGGTGGCATAAAGCAGTTGCTTTACATATAGCAGTTGCTGAGAAGTTGGGCAGGAGGAGGTCTTGCACACATCCTGCTTGAGGGATCCTGTGGGCAGCTGGTTTGCCCCTGTATGTACAGAGTACTGGATTAGATGGAGCTTGGGTCTCATCCAGCATGGTTTTTCTCTGTTCTTGTTCATTCTCTCTCTCTCTCTTCCTCCCTCCCTCCCTCCCCCCCCCCCCCCCCCCCCCCCTCCCCCTCTCTCTCTCTCTCTCTCTCTCTCTCTCTCTCTCTCACACACACACACACACACACACACACACACACACACACACACAGTGGGTAGTTTTCTATGAGTTGTAGCCCTTCCCTGTATTGAATACCTCTTCTGCTGATTGAAGGGCTTTCTTTGATGTCATGCAAGATTCTCATGAAAAAGAAAGCAGACAGACAGCATTGCTCTTCCTTTAGCACAAAGCACTACACTAAAATGTTCAAACCACTGTATAGGGTTTAACATGGATATTCCAAAGAGAAAGATGAAGAGAATGAAACAAGAGACCATGAGCAGTATCCATCAGTGCAATTCTGCAAACTCAAACGGCGAAATCTTTTATTTGTGCAACAACTTGCCCATTGTGCTAGCAGTATCTTATGGCCCACTCTCCTGAAAGGGATTGCATGATTGCTTGCAGAAACACAACCTTAATTGTAAGGTTGGGATTTCCACTTAAACTTGGTTTTCCCTTAGAACAACATTTATTTGTGCTAGTGGAATAACACCATTGGTTGCTGTCTATAATTATGGTCAATAAAAATGGGGAAAATGTGAACAAAAAACTGAATGCCCAGTAACAAAATGACCAAAGTTCCCATGTATCCACAAGACACTACAATTTAGTGAATGTTGTTCCGCAATCCTATGAGGAGGTTCAGAATTGGCTGGGAGCCCTTTAACTACTGCTGCCAAACCAATGTTTTGAATGAATGCCATGTCATACAAGACAACAAAGAAAGTGGATTGTATAGGATGCTAGTCTGTCTTCTTCTGATGTGGATACTAAGTATGTGGATTCAGTACTTTCTGGGTGTCTACATGGTTATCAGATCTAATTTATGTGAGTATGAGACATGTCAAGATTATACACTTTAGTCTAATATTAGACCATGTAAAGTGGCTTTGTATAAACATTCAAATATAATTAAGACAAAGTGATCCTAGTGCAAAAACTTAATAAATAAATGAACAGTGGAAGCAATGGTGCTTTAAAAAGACTCCCTGCCTTTTTAAATTAATTAATTATTAATTATATTATATTTTTGGTTGAACTCTTTTCACTAATATTCATCCTTGGCACATCTCTCATCCTTTCTGCCCCACAGAAGGCACAGGAAACCTCCATCTGGACAGTTCCCATTTGCAAGAGTTATTATTTGTTTTACATTGTTTTAAAACAACCAAATC